AAAAAATGTTTATTTTATTTTTTAAGTTAAATGTGTTGGGATGACATTGGTTTCTCTTGACTTTTTAAAGAAAGTGACTTCATGCAAGTTTAGGCAGCAAAGGACACAGACTCTGTGAAGGTTATTTGGGCCATAGTGATTCTGGAAGTTGGGAAATGCCGCCTTTGCAAATGAAAAATGAAAAAGGTCAGAACTGTATGAAGAAGTTTCTCTAAGGGAATGCTCACTGTCCTCTACATGACCAAAGACACTGTGTCTATAAATCCTATCAAAGTGAAATTACATCTATGGCACCGAAAACCAACCCTGGGGGGAATAAGTGAAGACTCACAATGCGTTTCTCTGAGGATGTACCCGGACAGCAGGGGACTGCTAGGGATTGCGTTAGCCCGTCAGTCCTCGGGGGGGCTACACCAGCTTCATGCCCAAAGAACCATTACGCCGATTCTCCAAGAGAGGGATGCAGAAGTCAGCTCAGCTCCCCTGCCTCCTAATCTGGGAGCTCCAAAGAGAAAACTGGGAAGCCCTAAAGACAGAGACCTGGGAGGCAGTGTTGGGCGGTGGCTTAGTGCGCTCTGCGGTCAGAATCCCAGCCCTTTCATTTGCTATTGTTTCTTAGGGAAAGTTTTCTTAATCCCCTTGGCCCCACAGCTTTCTCATCTGTAAAATGAGGATGATTATAATGTTTGCTCACTTGGATTAATGAGATTCTTGACATACAGTCAATAAATGTTAGCGACGCTGGCGGCAGTGACGATGGCGGTGATGGTGATGGTGTGGCACACATCATTCTTTGTGGCCCTGCCCCAGAGGAGAGAGATTCATGGTGGAGCTTTATTGCATCTGGAAAACCAGCAGGCTTGAGCAATCTAGGAAGGAAAGGAGTCCTATGACTGAATTTCTCATTTTTTTCTAGAACACTGCTTTGAAATTTCATTTATAGCTTATTTTAAAATTATAAAAGTCTACACTGATCCCCTTAAGGAGAACTGAGAAGGAGTCTAGGGAGAGTCAGAGTTTGGCTCCACAGAAATTTTAAAGGCAAACTAACTAGAGAATCAAGATATATGAGAATGAGCAATAGGATTTCTAAAAACATAAAGTTTAGCTTTTAAAATATTTTCCTTTTAAGGCGATGTGAGCTTTAAAAGTTGCTAGAGTACTACAGGCTCATTATTTAATCTGTGATCCTCTTTGGAAAGAACGCAGCCCGCAAAAAGACGACTTGGGTTTTGGTCTCAGTGTATTTTCCCCAATGAAAAAGTATTTTGCTTCCAAAAATCCATTTCCGCTAGCTCAAAGTTTCCTGAAGGCAAAAAACATTTCTTTGCCCTGGCCGGTGTTGCTCAGTGGTTAGAGGGTCGGCCAGCACACTGAAGGGTCTCGGGTTCAATTCCCGTCAAGGGCACGTACCTGGGGTTCGGGTTCCTCCCCAGCGTGCTCGGGAGGCAGCCAGTCGATGTGTCTCTCATATTGATGCCTCTCTCTCTCTCTCTCTGTTCCCCTCCCTCCCTTCCACTCTCTGAAAAGCAATGGGAAAAAATGTCCTCTGGTGAGGGTTAAAAAACACACATACACACAAAAATCACATTTCTTTTATCCTATGTGAAAGCAGGACATACCCAGTACACACTCAGTGAAAGCCTTTGTCCGATTTTTCAGAAACATGTAGGTGTGATTCTCCTGGTCACATCGTAGAGTTATTGTCATTTGGAAGAGTCCTTTCTTTTAACTCTCCCACCCCCACCCCACCCCAAATATTAAAGATTTCAAACTGAGTTAACTCGCAAATTTTAAAAATCTGCTTTAATTATATTTGGTTGTTAGGTGTTATTCTGTACAATGTTTCGTATACCCCTTGTGTGGAGCATACCTACTGCAGAAAGGGCTCTGATGAATTTAGGGTTTCACACCTCACAGCTTCTACCTCCAAATCTAGAAATTTCTCCTTCCTACAAAGGGCACAATCAGTTGACACTACTCTCCCTTTATAAGCTAATTTACCATGATATAGAGAAGAAATGTTTTAGTAGAAGGAAAGGAAATGTCCAACACATTATTGGAAATAAGCAATAGAAAAGCCAGTGTCCCCTTATGAAACATTTTCTTAATGCAAAGTCCAGGATCCAAGAAAGGACCTACCACACCGTCCTTTCTGCTGGCTGGAAGGGTGACTCAGGCTTCCCAGCCATGTCCCCAGGGGCAGGATCCCTTCTGGGAAAAACACTGCAATCCTGTGTGTAATCCTGCCTTCTGCTGGGAACTTTCTTGGTATACTTCCAAGAAGAGAATCACGGAAATGTAGAGCTAGAAATTATTTCAGAGACTTTACAGATTAGGAAAAAATGAAATCTAGAAAAAGGGTGTTATTTACTCAAGCCCAAACACCTAACTAGTAATAGGACTAGAGCCCTATCTAATGGTCTCCATTGCTTCTAAGCCCAACTGCTGCTTTGGAAGAACTCAGGGTTCCTAATTCACAGAAAATTTTGGCTTGATGTTACTCTTGTTAATAGAAGTGGAACTGTATATGCAGAAGACAAATATGCAGTGACTCAATCATTAAAATAATACTATTTGCATAAATAACATGCGAATTTATTATATATAAGAGAAAATAACCAAATTTACTAAAATTTAAATGTATTTATATTGTTTTTAATGTTTAATCACTGTGAAAATAGGTTTATTATCTTGAATAAAATAGATCTAAGTGTGTTATGATTTAAGTATAGTTGGCATACAATATATGAGGTATAATAGTTTCAGGTTTACAATATAGTGATTAAATGTTTTTATACCTTACATTGTGATCACCCCACTAATTCTAGTAATCACTCATCACCATGCAAACATACTACATTATTGACTATATTTCCCTTCACCTTTTTTTACCCATCTCCCCATCCCTTTCTTTCTGGTAACCATTCCTTTGGTCTCTATTTCTATGAGTTTGTTTTTGTTTTGTTTGTTCATTTGTTTTGGTTTTGTACATTCCACATTAAGTGAGACCATACAGTATTTCTCTTTCTCTGCCTTATTTATTTCACTTAGCATACTAGCCTCTAGATCCATCCATGTTGTTGCAAATGGCGATATTTTATTTTTTATAGCTGCATACTATTCCATTTTGCATATATATATATACACACACACACACACACGTGTGTGTGTGTGTGTGTGTGTGTGTGCGTATTACATCTTTATTTACTTACCAATGGATACCTAAGTTGATTCCATATCTTCGCTATTGTAAATAATGCTGCAATGAACATAGGGGTGCTTATATTTTTTCAATTAGTATTTCCATTTTGTTCGGATACCCAGAAATGGGATTGCTGGGTCATTAAGTGTATTATCATTAATTAAGTCTACCAACATTTTTGAAACATTACTATTACCAGGCATAGTTCTAAATGTGAAGATACAGAAAAGAAAAAAAATAATAGCCCTGCCCCAACTTGCCAGCGAACTGGGGAGGCTGACCTAACACAGGCAAGGATGACGCTGTGTGGTTCTAGCTGTGATGGGGCAGGTGCGACACCTATGGCTGCACAAATGAGGGGCTCAACTGGGAGTAAGAAAGAGAAGGCCCCCAAACAGGTAACACCAGAGCTGCATCTTGAAAGGTGGGGACTAAGGAAAAAGGCATGAAGAAGAGAAAGAGCAGCATGTGCAGGACAGGTAACTGTGACAGCATGTGGCAGATGTTGGGAGTAAGTGCTGCTTCTACACGCTGCAGCCCAGGCTTAAGTGGGGCCAAAGACAGGCAGGGCTCAGATCGCGATGAGCTTTGTACATTGTGCCAAAAAAGTCTGTATTTTACCAGAAAATAATGGGAAGGGATTGATACATCATATGCTCTAAAATAATATGACTCGAATTACACTATAAAGCAAATAGATTTTTTTCCTGCTCCATAATATATACTTTGGTAAGACATCTGAGAGTAGAATGTGGTAAAACCACCAGAATCTCAATTTCCTCATCTGTAAAATGGAGATCATTGTAGGGCTGTTGTAAGAAGTATGCAAGTTCAAGCATTACCATGTTTATTACCATGTCTGGCATTTTGTAAACACTCGGTAACTGTCAGCGGGCGTTGTCCTCATTGTGATCATCGTCCTCATAAGGGGCTGAATTGGAGAAAATGGATGAGAATTCTCAGGGCTAATTTTAACATCTAATGTGAAGAATAATTTTCCAGTTCTGCTGAATATATATTGCTTAGAGTAATACAGGGTCAGAGAGAACTACTTTGTCAGAGGCATGGCTGGGAAAAGGCATTGGTTAGCAGAATGCGCTGTGTACCAGACAGGAACTTTTCTGCTGATTCTGTTGTCCAAGAGAATGTCAGGAAAGAAAACCGGAGTTTCAGCTGTTGAGAGCAGTATCTGAGGAGAGTGCATGCTTGATTTGTTGGTTAAAGAGGGACAATGAAAATATTAACATCCATAGAAAGAAACTGGAGATAAAATTAACTTCTTTTTCCCTTCCCTTTGTCAATTGGCAGGCTTTCAAAACGAGAGTATGCTTTTAGTTTGCTATTAAATTGTAACCAGTTGTTTATAATATATCCTTATACTGTAAGGACTGAAGGTTATTTTTTGCTCTATTTTTGTTATTGGGATATTTTCTGTAATTGTGCCCAATTAAGAATTTGTAATATGCAGCAAGTCTTCGAATAACATCATTTCATTCAATGTCATTTCATGAAAACATTGATGAGATATTCTAGGGACTTAACTCTTGTTTATATCAGTTGACATATGATAAAATTGGTTTTGTTATATGTGGTTTGGTTGCAGTTCCAAGAACCTATCAATGACATGAAGTGAGGACTTACTCTAGCTTAGCTATTTAAATTAGGTTGTATTAAAAATTAAGTAGATCAGAAATAGATTTACTCTTTGCATAATGCCATCTCCTTATAAAAATGGACTATATTTCAGGATTCTGTGGAATAATCGATTTACTTTTTGTTGTTCTGTTCTGTTTAGTGCTCCTATATCCCACCTTGTAAGAGAGAAAATCAGAAGAACTTGGAAAGTGTCATGAATTGGCAGCAGTACTGGAAAGATGAGATTGGTTCCCAGCCATTTACTTGCTATTTTAACCAATTTCAAAGGTAAGCCAATATTTACATATACCTATTAGAATTGTTTGTAGCCTTTGTAGTTTTACATTATGTAGTATTACATGAATAAATCATAGACTGTGCTCACTTGAAAAATATACAACATGGAGATTGTCTCAGTTCTTTTCAGCATGTAGTTAGGGAAGGCCCTTCTTACTGTACAGGATGCAAGGCATGTCAAGAATCTTCAGGCAAAGAAAGATGGGGGAGGGCGGATTTGTATCTTAGAGCTTACCCTTTGGGTATACGAGGAAAGTGCCTTAGGTGAGATCACAGTATCCTATCAGTGTTCCCTGAGAATTACAGATTAATGCATGTAAGGTGAACAACTTTAAGGTGCAGGTTTGTCAGCATCTTGGACTGCAACAAATATCGTCTTTCCTTTTCCTGTCTATTCGGACAAAGTATCAATAAAATGAGATCATACCATTAAAACTTTATTTGACTTAGAACTCAGGTTATACCATATCATAATGGTTCCTTGGACTAGAACACTTCAGTACCCACTCAGATTAATCATGGGAATTTATTCACCAGACATTTATTAAGTATTTACAACACCTCCCTGTACATCTCTACTTGGATGTTCTACAGTTAGGTCAAACTTTCTTTTCCTCTAGTGGCCCCTCTCTTAGAGAATGGCACTGTCATCCACTTGTTCACCGAGTCGAGAAACCTTTGAGTGATTCTTAATTCACTTTTCTTTTCAGTCATGTTGACTGTACCTCTGTGACGTTTGTTCTCTGCCTTCCCTGTGCCACTGTCTTAGTTTAGATCTGCATTATTTCTTCAGCTCTATTAGTGCAATAGTCTTCTTTGTTTTCAGTTTTATTGAATTTATTGGTGTAACACTGGTTAACAAAATTACACAGGTTTCAAGTGCACAATCCCACAACACATCATCTGTACACTGTACTGTGTGTTCACCACCCCAGGTCAAGTCTCCTTCTATCACCATTTATCCCCCCTATACCCTCCTCCATCTTCTCTCACCGCCTTCCCCATGCAGTCGTCTCCCAACAGGTCCTTCCATCTCCACTCTGCCCCACTGCAAACCATTCTGCCTGCTGCTGCCAAGATGATCTTTCTAAAACCTGACACTAATCAGGTTACTCCTCATAGTTTTTGAGTAAAGTCCAGATATCTTGGCATGGCTTATGTATCAGGTACCTATTGCTGCGTAACAAACCACCCCAAATCTAACAGCTTACTACAACAATGATTTATTATTTCTTATGATTTTGTGGGTGGGCTGGGAAGTTCATTTCTTGGTCTCCCCTGGGCTCATGGGCAGTCAGATGATGACTGGGATAGCTGCATGGTCCATAAGGTCCTCTCCTCTCCCATGCCCAGCACTGGGCGCTGGCTCAGATGAAGTGCCTCAGTTCTGCACCTGGCCTCTCATTCTGCAGTAGGCTAGATCACCTTCCTTATAATATGGCAGCCTTAGGACAGCATTTCAGGAGAGCCAGGCCTTTGCTCTGGAACTCGCATGACATTACTTCTCACATGTTCTGTTAGTCAAAGAAAGTCATGATACAGCCCAGGTTCATGGGGTGTTGAAATAAACTCTGTCTCTTGCTAGAAAAAGCTGCAAAGATGTTGTGACCATATTTAATCTACCATGGCACACAGACTCCTTAAGGTCTCGCCCCCGACTACCTCCTCTCCAGCCTTGTCTCCATATTCATACTCTTTGCAATAGATATTCTGAACTATGTGCAGTTCCTGGAATATCTTATACTTTTATATCCATGCCTTTCCAGACACAGCAGTGTTCAAAGTCAGAAAGAGCCTATCTCTCCTGACATTTTTATTTTCACAACTTCCCAAAGCCAACGTCCTCTCCGGTATTTTTGTTGATAATGATAGAGTTCCTTTGCCTATACACCTAAACCATTCACAGGAAAGAACAACAGCATCTATCTCTGAACTGGGGATGGGGCAATGTGTCCTAAATTGTGTGGAGAAAGGGTACACACTTGAGTAGATTTGCAAAGGAAGAAGAAAGGGGATGGACTTTGTGGAACAACCAAAAAAGTATAAGCTATAAGGTGTGTCTTCCACGTTCTGCATACAGCTCTATCCCAGAAGACTGCAACCCTCGTTTTATGTAATTATACCAGAGGAGCTTTAAAAATAAAGTGCACCACAGAGCAATAAAATTAGAATCCCTGCTGAGTGAACCTAGGCATTACTATTTTTAAAAATTGACTCCAGGGATTCTGTTTTGTGAGATATGCATTATAATATTATATAATATTTATTACTATATATCTCATATATATCTATTACATGAGATTTTAAGACTTGTATATTCTAATATATAAGCTATAATAAATTAATATAATCTATTAATTATCTCATATGTATTATATGAGATATATCTATATTAAATACATATATACCTAACATTTGAGATATATTAATATGTTCATAGAAATATCTAATAAACCAAAGCTTGACAATGTATGGCACATTAGGTACATAGGTTATATAATGAGCGGTGAACTTGTAAGGTGGAAAAGTAGCTTGGGGTTAGATTTCTAAAGGGCCATAAATGCTATACTAAAGAGATGGTCTTTGCATATGGGCTATGAAAATTTGTAAAAAGGTGTGTTTTCTGTAAACCAGAGACCAACATGACTAGATCTCTGATTTAGAAAGTAACTGGTATGAGTGCTTAATGTGTGTTGGAGGCAAAGATAGTGAAAGGAGGGAGCTCAGTGATGGGAGAAGTGAGGAAAGTACTGAGTGGGGGGAAATTTTTTGAGTGGCTATGATATGCCAACCATTGTGAATACATTTTGTTTAGATCACCAAATTTCTTATAGTAGTTCTAGGTACTAGCCCCATTTACAGATGAGGAAACTTGAGTCCTAAATAAGTTAAATAACTTGCCCCATGCACACAGCTATTAAGTGGAATCCAGTTAGTCTGAACCCAAAGCTCCTTCTCTTAGCCATCTGCTGGTCCTGATCCAGAACAGTGGAAGTGGAAGGATCTAACAGGGTGTGTGACAGCAAGGCATTTTAGAGTTACAGTCAACACAACTGAAGGACAATGTAAGCGATGAGAAAAAGGTGTCAGATTTGACTGAGTGTGAGAAAAAGACAGTCCCGCTCTGACTTTGCTGAACTTGAGGGACTCATAAGATATCCAGAAGATGCTTGAAAGAGTTAGAAATACAGATTTTTAGTTCAGGAGCAAGAGGGCAGGACCAGTGTTATACAGATCTGGGAATCGGTGCACAAGCTATAGTTGAAGCACAGAGAAAGAATGCATACTGGGAACACATAGAGAAGAGAAATAGGACAATCTAGGGAGAGGGAGATGGAGGAAAATGTCAGATGGTGAGAGGAAAGTCAAAAAAGAATACCATAGTATCTCGGAAAAATTTTTCAGGTTTTAAGGAGAAAGGGGTAATCCAGAAGGACTGTTGAGAAGTAATTGGTTTTGACATTGGCAGTCTCATAGTGACCGTTGTGAAAGCAGCCCTAGGATACAGGTTAGAAACCATCTTATATTCTCCGCAGGTGAGAATGTGAAGGCATAGTAAGTGCACAGGACCCTTCCGAGAAGCTTTCCATGACCGGAAAGTGTGCGGGGAGGAGGAATGGATACAGAGAAGGAGACTAAAACTGCTTAGAAAGAGCAGGACATGGAACACAGGCAGTAACCAAGGCAAAAATGGAACTCACCCTGAAGAAAATGAGGCAGGATGAGACTAAGAGGTTAAGAAGAAGGGATATTTTTTTCTGTGAGGTCAGAGCCTGGTAATGGAGAGAGTAGGCCCCAGCAGGCCGGAGGAGAGTTAGATGGGTGATCCTTTAAGCTTCCAGCCCCTGACCAGACGCCGGTTTCAGAATGTGGTGAACTTGAGCTTGCCATTGGAAGCAAGCAGGGCGCCCCTCCATGGGCTGGCCTGATTACCGGTCTTGGTCTTAATAAACTTCCCCTCACTCGGCAGTCAGGCACCCAGTTCTCCAAAGGCTGCCTCCCCCAAACAGGGTTCCTCCTGTGCGGGTGTGAAGTCTGAGTATCCTCAGTCCCCAAGCAAGGACTGTTCCTCCGCAATAGTGAGAAGCGTCTGAAAAGAGCTAACCCTTCATTCTCTGCCAGTTCTGTTGACTTCAGTAACAGTGGAGTTAAGCCCGTCTACCTCCCTCAGAGTGGATGCTCTTTCCCTACCCGTCATCTCACTGTCTCACCCCCAGCTGTCGGGTAGAGATAGACGTGGGGGTGTCTGTCACAACCCCGCAGCACCTGAGACTTGATTTTAAGTGACTCTGGGAAAACAGAAGATGGGAGTTTGGCTCTTTTACCATGACATATGCAAGAGGAAACCAGGGTGCTGGTTGGAGGTGGGAAAATGGCAGCTCTTCATATACTTTTTACTGCTGCTAAATAAGCAGTAAAGACAGACTCACTGTAGAGCCTCCCAGATGCTCTTGATAAGATGAACTTTATATTTAAAGTAACCTTTAGATTTCACTCACATGCAGGAAATTACGGAGAATAGTTATCAAGAAGTTTCCATTTTCAAGAAAAGGATGTTATTTTTAGAGTTGAAGACAGAGATGACTGGAGTCTTAGCTTTCCACCGTTTAAGCCTCATTTAGGAGAACTCTTCTCAGGAGTGGAACCCGCAGGGGCCAGAGCAGCCACCCACAGCCCTGCCTGCGTGGGACGGAGGCCAGTCCCCATGCGGCCACCCCTGCTCCCCACCCGGGAAGGACACCGAGGGCTCGTGGAGCCTGGCTCCGCCTGCTCCCACCTGTGGCCTTCTCACTTAACCTTTCAGCTCTTTGCCTCCTTCGATCTTGGGCTCACAATCTCCTTCCGATGTGCGGATTTCCATTTCACACGTTTTCACATAGGTGACGTCACACTTACCCTCCTCACACCGTTTTTGTCTCTTATCTTTTCCCAGGCTTCTTTTCCCAGCAAAACCCGAATTATGTCTCCTTCCCGAGTATGTTTTGAAATCT